GATGTTCTTTTTTATAAACGCTCTCAAAAAGAACATATTTGTGAGTTCCAAGAAGCTGGTAAAAGAGCTTTAATAAATCACAACTTCACATTTCAAGGACAATTCAAAGAAACCAAATGTGAGAGAAAGTCAACCCTGTGTTGAAACTGCTTTATTTCACTAAGGCCATAATTTGCAAGATTTGCCAATAAAAGGATCTAATTTAAGACCTTAAAGCAGGAAGTGGTGCTGAAATAAAGAGGTGCATCCCATTATAAGTACTTTAAATGCTGGAGATTTGGATTCATTGCCCAAAAAAGTCTGGTGTTGCAAAAGCCTTGTGAAATCTTCACCACCCACACAGAGAGTGACTAAAAATATGAGCTAAACAGAAGCTGGAGGCAGTCCATTCTGTTTAACATAACAGCTAACGTGGCCTTCACTGCTCAAACAAATACCTGAATATGAACATTACCCACTGTAGATGCCTTCAGTAAACTGGGTACGTCTACCTACCTCTGTGCAGAAGCTGCAGTTGCAGCCCTGCAGTTCCCTGGTGGCTGTAGACAACTGCTCACTGAGGCACAGCTTGCAGAAAACCTTGGGCCCTAGCTGGGGGTCAGCACTGGCCTCAGGGGTCCCTGGTGCAGAATCTCTGGCATCCTGGCTCAAGGTGGGATTACTGCTGTCCATAGTGGAGCCTGGCAGGCAGGAAGGAAAGTAAGAAGGAATCAGGCTGCACCTAGCCCTTCTACTGAGGACAGAGAGGAGCTACACCCTCCACGTTCCTGAAAGCAGACACCATACTAATCTTTTGTCTTTTCAGCACTGCCAGACCTCCTGACAACACTGTGCACCGTTTCTCAAACCTGTGATTCCTTCTGGTAACTGGTACACCAGCTGTGATGATTTCACCTGCCCGTGAAGCAGTACACTGTTATTTTCTTGTTACCTGAGAGATGAATTAGTCACTGTTTAAAGCTGCATAGTGCAGGAAGCAAAGTATCATTACGTAAAATTACCGCAATAATATTGATTACTCATCATCTGTTTCTCCATAAATGGTGTTATTTGTAAGGCCAAAGTCCACCGTCTGTGTTTACTGAGCCTACAGTTACTGATCACTTCCTCATTTATTCTAACAGGAAGAACTGTCAGTCATTTCTAGAATCATGGTTAGCACAAGCTGGCAGCGCTACACTTGGCTGGAATTTTGTTTAGCACATAATGGCATCACTGAGCAAAGCTACTGTGGGAGAAAATGGAAAAGGGGGAAATTCACTGATTTAAAATTGAATGGTTTGGAAAACTTTACTGAGAGGAAAGAAAGCTTTACCATGACGGCACACAAAAAACTAAATGTCTGAGCATGCTTTATTTCAGAGGTCAAAGTTTCTCATGTTCTTGGAGACAGATTACAAAGTTTGGGCAGTGTAATAAAAGTCAAATGTATGTTTTTATAATAAAGTTACCCATTTAACAAGATGCTAGCAGTTCAGTGAGGCTGTACTCAAGCACAGCAGTGCCTTGAGTTAAATGCTAGCATCTGCAACATGATCACAATGATTATGCTACGTAAAAGTCTGCTGTTAAGAAGGTACACCAAGTTCACCATCTTAGCTGAGCATGTTAGCATGCCACCTTTAGCCGCTAAACATAAAGTACAGCAGAGCGATGGGAATGTTTTTCATTTTGTGGGTACTTGGTCATACAGTACTGGACACATTCAGACATTTAGATGGTAGTTAGATTGATGCTGAGCAGGTGTAATGTTTACCATGTTCACCAACTTAGTCTAATGTGTTAGCTTGCCATCATTTCCAAATTAGCACTAAAGGCAGCTGAGATACTGTAGATGCAAAGTCAGAGGATCATTGCTACAATTGATTCTGACAGGAACATAAATTTGTGTATCAAATTTAATGGCCATCCATTCAGTTTCATGACAAATTACAATGTCAGCATCATGTCAGAGGAAAGGTCAGGTGATCATCCTCTTGGAACCATGAATGTACAAAACTGTGTGCCAGTCCATGGAATAATGTTCAGATATTGAGTGTGCAGAAAAATGGTGGCTGACCAACCAACAACCTGGCATCGTCAGAGCATTGCTAGCAAAAATACTAAAAGGTACTTATATTGCATAAAATGCTGTCTAATTACAGCATAAACCATAAATATAAGTTGTAGCTTCCACCTTTGGTTATTAGACATTAGCTACATATTCTGGGACAACAGGCCAGAGGGGGGTGGATAAAAAGGTCTGATCTGGTGCTAAAGGGAACCGAAGTCAACAGACCGAGGCATCATCTTTTTAGTTAATTTGGCTGTCTAATCCTGAAAAGCATGAGAACTAATAATACCGTAATCTGGAATTTGCCATAAATCCTGGTTGGACACAGAACGGGGTCACACAGGAAATACTTCGCAGCTTGGGCGACTGCCGAAAACACACACAGAATACATTGTGTTTTCTATTTCAGCAGGCCGCTCACGTTGGCAGTCAACTTTGGAATCACTCAGTCAATACAGCAATCACCACCACCAGTGTCCTAAATGTCTCAGCGAGTGCTTTTTTTACTATGTAGCATTGATCCGTGGCGGTATACACTACACAGTGATCACTGATAGTGCGGCTAGTTGAGCAGCACACTGTGATATTTCTGCACAGTCATGTTGTAACCTGTTCTGCTTTCAGACAGACGAGCTAAGCCAGCTGCAGTCACCATCCCACAAAGCTGTCAGCCTGTTCTGTCCTGCCTGAGCATATCTAGCACCATGGCTCTGACGTGCGAAAATTATAGGCTTATTGTCAGATGGCTGTGCTGTGTGGAAACTCCCATATGTATTTAACAGTCAATAATACACAATTAAATGTGCCAAAGAATGGGAGAGCATTCATATGGAAGCTCGTGTGTATTTAATAACAGAGTGATGCTTTTCATCCCAGACCAATGTAAAAGTTTAAAAAAACGTGAGATTACCTGTTTTTATCTAAGAATGTCTGACAAATCAGTGTCGTCCACCTTTAATATGACAGGTATGAGCCACTTCAATTTATAATTAGCTGTATAATTAATCAGAACTTGATGATTATTTTATATGAATTAAGTTTCAGAAGCACCCCACCTTCTAAGTTTGCTTATGGAACTATAATTTAAATGCATCAAATGACAGTAAAATACTGAAAACCAGAAGCTTAAACTGAATGGCATTGCCATTAGTATCCTGTGCCTGAAAAATCCATCCTGACTGCTACCCCTGGTGCAGGAAAGCAGTCAAGCTGAGAATAAGAGCTCACTTTCAAACCTTAATCTCCAATGGTAGAGCTATTAATTAATCAAAACAGCCCTGCGGGGCTAACAGTTTCTTTTAGCCGTGGGGCTGACCGGTTAATGATTTGCAGTCTAGATGGTATGCTAGCCACAGAGGGTCATCAAAGAATCATTGTTGACCAGAGGCAGAGACTGAAAACCAGATCTGCCTGGTGAAAAGCTGCTGCTGCTGCTGCTTTTACACAGACTGCCACTGTGTCAGGGAAGGAGGCAGGTGGGAGTGTGTGCCTGAGGACTATGTAGCAGAATATATATGGCATAATTTACACAGCTGCAATCATCCCCAGACTGCACCTGGATGCCAACACCATGAGTGCTTTTAGGGTAGAGCCTAAACCAAGAGCAAATGAAAGTGAAACACAGTAGCATGGAGAAAATGATGGGGTGGGGAAAATGCAAACTTGTGTACTTGTGTCTAACGAGAATCAGCTTGGTGGACACATTAGACAGATGTGATTTGAGGGTATTACTCTAAAATGGATATTATATTCCATAAGGACTCTCAGGCTGCTGTGATAGCCTGTGTGCATATTTACAAGTTGCCCTGAGGGTTAGTATGCAGCTTTTTATAAAACACAAAATAACAATTAAACGTGTAATTTGTTAGAGTATTCAACTACACATGGGACCCGACACATCGCATCCCTGTCAGGGTTTATACTGACATATTCACCGTATGACAGCCTTTAATGAACACCTATGCCAGGCTAAGGGTGGACCCGTGTGCTGCTGACACAGCCGGAGTAGAGAGGGAGGACCTACCTTGGGAGTCGGAGATGCCGGCGTCCAGATCCACAGCTGCAGTGCTCTTCTATGACACAGACACATGTGTTGATAGAGTTTGCTGGTACAATAACCTCGGCTGTCAACGCCTAATCCCACCGTTCCCCCGCCGCCCGGACACCGCCTTCCTCACACACGCACAGGGCTTAATGAAAAACTAGACATATGTTTAAACGTCTGTTCGAAGCTGCCTTGCCTGTGTGTGTGTGTGTGTAGGCGTGTGTGTGTGTGTGTGTGTTGCTGTGTGTCACCTCTCCTGCCTTTTGTTGCCATCCAGGAAGCTGGTGTGCCTCTTGACTACTCCTGCTGGTTACTTCACTAAACTGAAGACTGGTGGTGCTTTCAGGGACAGTCGGAGAAACAAACTCATCCACTGTGTAAACATGTCGCGTTGGCGCCCCCTGCGCTCAGTTCTAGTAATATTTATAACTTACTCCTTCAAGAGCTTACTCAGCATCATTTAGGACCGATAGAACAATCCCTCTTCGTTTAGGGTCACAAAAAATTAGTTGGTTACTTTATTATGTCAAATTGATTCTTTGACTGACTAATTGCATTTCGGCACTAGATGATACTGACTGGACCTCACAAGGTCTTATATAAAGATTGTTATTGCTTTCTCTGTGCTTGTTCTTGTACTTACTAGATAGTAGGAACCAAAAAGTATTTTCACTATAGAATGAAGACATTTGTGGAAAGTGAGAACATTTTGGTTATTCTCACTTTGTGAAACACCTTTTTGGCGATTAAGACTTGATTTTAGGGTTCAGGTTAGGATTAGATTTGGGTTAGGGTAAAGATTAGGCATTTAGTTTTAGGATAAAGGGCTAGGGAATATATTATGTCAATGAAGGTCCTCACAAAGTAGACGTACAAGTGTGTTTGTGTGTGTTACTAGTGGTATTACAGTGACTTCCTGTTTACACAGCTGATCAACGCGACAGAGGTTTCATAAACCTTCACTGGATCAGGGACAGCGCTCTACAAAACACGAACGACGCTTAATTCAGCGGTTTTAATTTACAATCACTGAGTCTTCTTGAGTCAGAGTAAATACAGTAAAGTGGCCAAACTTCAGAGGCTTCAAGGGGAAAACCACATCCAGCACCCGGACAATAAGCACAGGTGCCCCCCAGGGATGTGTGCTCTCCCCTCTGCTGTTTTCACTCTACACCAATCACTGCATCTCCAAGGACCCCTCTGTCAAGCTCCTAAAGTTTGATGATGACACAGCGGTCACTGGTCTCATCTGAAAAAGCGATGAGTCAGCCTACAGACGGGTGGTTGTTATTTTTATCTCTAATAATCTCATTTCAATTAATATTCCTTTGTTGTCTGCATTGTTACTGTCTGTTCATACTGCTTATTCTGCATTGTTTGCACTGGTTGTTGATGTAAATACTGCTATTTTGTTATATTACACAGCCTTATGCTGGTTTACTGTTTGCACTTTCAGAACCGATGTACCTGAGTCAGATTCCTCGTGTGTCCGTCACACCTGGCCAATAAAACGGATTCTGATTCTGATATTGGGGTATAGCTTTAACATAAACGTTTACAGTTTATGTTGTTTATCTTATTTACACGACGGTGTGTCATTTCTGTCCCTACATGGTCACGCGTTTACAGTTCTCCTCTGCGCTCTGTATTGCGCACGACGGAGTTCCGCCCCGATGCGCACACACCGGACAGATCATCTGTGTTTTTTATAGAAGCGAGTTCTTTTATACCTGCTAGAGTACTGCCCCGCATTTCCTGTGTATATGGTGTCAGTCGTGCTCGTCATCATGCACAGCCCCACCTTACCTCATTATGGCCCAATCCCAATGGCCACCCCGTCCACACCCCACGCTCACAAACTCACGGACCTTGAGGCGGATTTCTGCTGAGTTAGTGAGGCTCAGACGTCCCACTATGAGATTGTTACGTACATGAGGGCTCTCTCGCCTCCATTTCGAGCCCTTTATGCTCACTTTCCGTAAGTCGGCATCTCTGCAGACTTTACCCGAGGGAATTCCGCGTTGTGACACGGGATTAGCCAACTGCACCCAGAGAAGGCTGGAAGCGTAAAAAGATCAACAAATGTCCTAATCGAACAACCATTCTTATGTTAACTGATGTTATTTTAATGTTTTTGTATGTTGCTTTGGTCAAAAGCATCTGCTAAATACTGCAACTTAAACATAAAAGTCCTATATTACGCACCTGTTTAATTCATCAGCAATGTTTTTTTTTCTTGTTTTTTTTTTTGCTTAATGACGCTGTTTTGACAAAAACATATTAAATTGATTAGATACAGTATTTGTCAATTGCCCCACACTCTAAGGCAATTTCCTGACTTAAGACGAGCCTTGGAGCCTCTTAAGAGCCTGGATCAGCCGTGAGGAAAGTAAAAAACGTAAAATAAAAGCTCTAAACCCACAATAGATGGAAACATGGCATCGCTTTATCGCTGTCGTGGTGATGTTATAGTCACAGAGTGCTGTCCCATTCCTGTTTATACAATTTCCAGCCCCTGCAGACTCAGTCACTTACAGGAGACGTCACTAAAGTCTTTGGGGGTTCAGGGTTTAAGATCTTAGAGATGACTTTGAGATTCAGCCATTACGTTCAGTATTTGGACTGGGCTGGGCCTACATGATCATATAAGTGCAACATACAACACTGCTTATTGTTATACATACAGAGATAATAATTCTCAAATCTGTTTCCACACTTATTTAAATGATGTCATGTGTTGTATGATGACCCTGATGAGGGCCACAAGCTGAGGCATTTAAGCTGTCCATATACTAAAGTAGTTACGTGCAATGTTTCTGACCATCTACCATCAATTTCTTAATCTCACAACTCTAGCATTTTAAAAAGACATTTTACCACTCCACCCCAACCTAACCACTCGGAAAGCCCAGGTTAACTGCGCATGCGCACCTCTCCTCCCGGGGTTTTTCCTGCAGTAACTTATATCAGTGGATGATTGTTACTTTCACGACAATAACATCTCTGCCACAGGAACAATGGACAGCTCTGACCCTCTGGCCCCGAGTCCTCCTCCTCTTAATAGCAACACTTTTACAAAAATGAAAGAAAGCACGAATCAGGTGAGATTTGGTTTTTCTATTTTCCCATATAGCCTGTACCTGTAACGTGGATCTCTTCTTGCTAATGTGTAGCCTATATATTACAGAAGACGTTCATATAGACTATAGCCCATTTTTCCAAGGCGTATAAAAACAAATCATCTCAACCATTGTTTTGTGATAAAACTTTCGGCTTGAACATGGCCCCGTTTCCGTATAGCTGCGGTGTGCGTCCCCCCCCCCCTTGCGCCATTTCAGTTTGAACATGAAGAGTATGTTGTTAAAACCAGGACGTTTTCTCGTTATAACGACATAGGAAGTGGTATTTTCCTCATGGTGGCAGTAACATGTTCCTGTACTTCAGCGACCTGCTATTGACAAGACAAAATGCGTGTGGCGAGTGGGTGAAGTGGGTGAAGTGGGTGAAAGTGTTGTAAACTAGTGCCGGTGTTGTGGAAACGTGTGTTAGGGTTAGGGATGTTTTAAGGTGAGGGGTGGGTGTGGGGCTAGTCAGTCCATGGACTTAGCTACTAAGATAGCATATCTCGGCAAGGTAGCAAACTCTGTCAGAACACAGTGTTGTGTCGAGATCTGTTCCCCTGTCGAGCTGTGTTTGTAGTCCTCCTCTGTGGTTATGGGTTAGGGTTAAGGGAAGAAGGTGTGCTGAGCAGCAGGTGGTGGAACCGGTAGTGCTGTGGCTTGTAAAAAAAGAAAACGCACACACACCATCCGTATATGGTGCCAGATGTTATCATTGTTTGAAACCTTACATGTCCCGTTCCTGCTGCTCTTCTCCAGGTGACGGTTTTTAAAGCCAGCAACATGCAGAGACTCCTCCAGGTGGTACAGAGGATGACGGTGAAGGGCTGCAGGAAAACCTGTCAGATGTTCTGCTGCCCCTTAGACACTCAGCTGCATGAAAAGGCCACGTGTTGCCCAGGTAAAATATGCATGTTATCATTAGAATTGTCAGCACTGTCTTCATTACTTTATATGCTGACATGTCATGGTCCAGCTTTAGATGTGAGTGTTACACACTGTCTTTGTTTCTCAGAAACATGACACACACTGCACGCTAATTTAGTATCACCTTGAAAGTCAGAAACATGAATGCCAAACGAGTATATATCATTACTGAAGCTGTAGTATCACCTGTCTTTCTATCCAAAAGATCAAACCCATCATCCTGCAGAGGCCAAGTCAGCACAAGGTAACTTCTGTGTTTTATGTTAGACTTAAACAAAACAAAAACATTTAAGGCCATCATTCAGTCATCAGATCCTTTTGTTCAGAGCTCTGGTAGTTGGTTTTTCTGTGACTTTTCCTATAAGCATTAGTCAGCTAAACATTTCCTACATATTCAGGAACTTCGTGATAGTGTCCCTTCTGCTATTACATGACTGTGAAATAACTTCCCGTTCT